AAACACTTAATCGATCCAGCACCCATCTCTGCCAAAAGATTTGTGGACTGTTTTGGATAATTCAAAAAATAAAATATCTGCTCCTTGTAATTTCCCTCTACACCAAAAGTCGTAATATCCAGTTGGACCGTACCTCGCACCGGTGAGAGATATACCTTTGTTTTTAATCCCGCAGATTCCTATTGCCCATGCAAGAGCATGGTACAATTTGTACATATTTGATCTACACAAAATATGGACGCAGCTCCTCATTTAAAGAGAAATATACCCATTATTATTATGGCTAATGTATATACCATTAACCACCCGTCACTGTTCCCTAGAAACGTAAGATTATGATGATTGAGCTAAATTTTCTAGACACACAATAAATATTTATTCCCTACTTATTACTATTGTCTCTCTTCATGGGTGTCATACCTGAACGCTTTCGGTGATTTCGAGCTGCCACCTGATTTGAAGCACTGATGGAACAAAGTCAATAGGAAAAGAACAATGGAAAAGGAGTCCCTGTTGTCGCTGAAGATGTATGTCTATAACATTAAGCTGGATTTCTATGGCACCGCAGGGTTAGATCAATTTCGCTAGACCACGTGTTACCTTACAAAGAATAGACCTGTTATGATAACTGCGAACTAAACGATCTAATGAGTAATATACAGTGCACAGAGGGAGTGAACATAATGCCATACGCTTGTGTTACTGGTGCTTTATTTAGCTTTGGGCTACGATACATTGGTTTTGCACAACGTTTCCGAGTACCACATTTGCAAAGCAAACGAGACAAATGTTGGCTTGTACTTAGTCCTGATTTACAAACGCAGCAACAAACAGTCGTTAGGAAGCAGGCGTAATACTTGTCCACATCCTGACGCGCACAGTAACGCCCGAGTTGTCTTTAACAAATTGAAACAGTTGGAAATATTACCTGCAGTGGGAATTCCTTGCATCGAGTATTTTAGTTACTGTTTCCATCGAAAGGTTTAACTTGTGACGCGGTGGCTTAGGGGAAGCGCTCACAACTAACATCTCAACGGACCAGGGTTCTATGCCTGATATCTCTATCTGATAAGAGGAAATAAACTCGAAACGCGTCATAGGAGTGCAGCGTTTTTCCAAAACCTCCACCGATTGTATGCCGACAAGCTGGGCGGATGGCATCAATCCACGTTACACATAGCATACTATCAATAGTCTATACCAAGGTTCCAGAGCCAAAGTCAAAGTCCTTAATAAGAAAACAGCACGATGATGGGAAACAGTGGAACTCTATGTGTGACAACATAATTGTTGTAGTCAAGCCCGATAAATTGACACGGACCACAAGTCACCCAAACTTACAGCACGACGGTGAACCGAGATTTCTTCGTGTTTTATTGCATTTCGTCCGTGAACCAGAAGCCCTCCTGTTATCGGCACCACACCTTCGAAATGTGTCATATTCCATTCACATTTTTCCAGATATTCCTTGGAGTGAGCGCAAACAGGCAAAATATGACTTGGAAGAACACCGAAAGGAATAAGTGGCTAGGACCATCCGTGCACACGGGGTTATCGAGGCTGGATGTCATAATGAGTGCGAAGCGACCGCCTACGACCAAGAACGGTGGCGATATCTTTGAGAGACCCCGTCCATAGAAAATAGCATAACGCAGTGGATCTTAAGGCTATATAGGTCGCCTAATTACAAAAGAAATGCCCGAGGATTGTGAAAGCAGTACACAATCCAAACACATACCATATGAGGTGTTAGAGAACAGATATGCCGACCGTATTAGCCGTCCTTCCGATCTCTGGATCAAAGCAGCTTCCCCTAGGCAAACATACGAAAGCAGCAACTTACTCGGACCACAAACAGCTAACAATTCCGATAACTGAAATCAGTAAACAAACCCCATACACTAAATATAAGAGAGGAGAATGTAGGTAATGGCGGGATCCCTGGATTTGACACAGATGAGTTCGTGATCAACCCGCCCATAAAAGGTTCAGTTGCCGACCTTTCATCCGTCGGCACAACAGCAAATCGTAAACGAACATCCCACAACTCATTGGTAAGTACAGCGAGTCCTTCCTTCATATACACTAAATCGCAGTGTCTATTGAGTAAGCTTGTCCAATTGCGGCTGCGTCATGCATCATACGCCTGGGACCTGATGTTCATAACGGAGACATGGCTGCATTCAGGAATAACCGAAGCTGAAGTCTAGGTACATGTCATGTCCCTCATTTGAAATGATCGCCCATGTAAGGGTGGTGGGGTAATTTTATGCTACCTTAATGACCTGCAGTGCAAACAGGTAGGCGATCAGGTTACGTTGCTCAGGGACTCGCTCTGATGCAGTCTGCGACTAAGGCGCTAAGACACCTACCTTTTGGCAGTTGTTTATGTTCCCCATATCCATCCCAGAGGTGGACTGACAATCTTATTGGGGAGGGCACTTCGACAACGATACAGGAAAGCTCTCATCTCCAGGGACTTCAATGTTCATGATTTGGACGTTTCGGATTCGCCCAACAAAGAATTCAAGCCAGACCTGCAGGAGCTTATTGCAAGCATTCCGCTGTCACACCAAGTCAGTTCGTCCACCAGATTCAGGACGAAAAATATGCCATCAGTGTTTGATCTAACTATAATGAGCGAGAAACCAAAGATGGAGAGCCTTTTTTGCGAACATCGCTATTCTACATAACCCTATGGTAAGCCCATCAAAACGCTTTGCACTTTATCACACAAGTTAATTTTCGCAAGAATTTCTATCCCACGGGACTCTTTAAGCATTGCTTTTTTACCTGTAATACACCGTTATTCCTAGTTCCATTGTAACAATACATTACTGTTGCGTGTCATGCTGAATATGCACATAAAAATAGTGGCTTGTTTCGGACAATCAAACACTACGATGCACTCACAGAACTTGTAGGGGATGCCAACTGGGAGTTTTAGGACAATTATTGCATTGCTAATGCATAGACGCATTTTGCTCGAAAGTGCAGGGATCTGATTAAATTCGCAGCTGTAAACAGTCTCATTCGTTCGACAAGAGCACCATCAATCATTAGGAGCGGAACTAAAAAACTCATATGGTTGAGATACAGCCTAGTAAGTGTACAGGGTGAAACCTAACCCTAAAACTGGAGCTATTATCTAGTGCATCGTAACCACTGAACCATACTTGTACGTGAGGACAAATTAGTTCACCAGCAGAGCCTAGCAGAAAGGTCATGTGCTAACAACAAGCTACTGTCCAGACATATGAACAAGCTCCGGAATTTGAACTTTAGTATTTTCCCCAATTACCTCATCAAACAGATGTTCTCAAACTGTAGAGGGTGCAGCCAACGTCCTACAGCTGCAATATGCTTCAATATTTCGATGCGCCAACAGCATATCTCACATACCTCTCCCATTCCCTCCAATGCCAATATTCATACACGTCACTTTTTCCACAACTGTTTTGAGGAAGCTGATATCGTTGCGCAACCATAGTTCCCCAGGTGTTGATAACAGTCTTCCAAAAGCTTTTCAGGTGGCAGCTACGAGGAGAGCTGAGCCATTAGCTCGATTTTGAAAAAGGCCTACATGCATAGCAGTTCACCAACATGTGGACGCAGACCATCATCACCCCGATTTTCTAGAGTGGTATCCGTTCGGATCCCGTCAACTATCGCCCAGTGATCCTACTACCGGTGCTCCCAAAGTTTATGGAGTCAATCATAGTTAAGTCTCTAATATGCTACTTTAAAAGGTCTAACATTATAGCACAGCAGCAACACGGATTCCGCAGGTATTGTTCATATACTACCAATCTACTGATTGCGCGTTACAGTTGGACCGAAATAGCTGACAGCGAGACCTGCACTGATGTAATCTTCCTCAACTTTCTAAAGCTTTCGACCGCTTAGATCAGTGAATTTTACCCTATAAGCTGCATAGGTACGGAATTGTTGACCCGGTCATTGGATGGATCGGAAATTTTCTGCTTTAGCGAAGGCTTGAGCTTCGAGGTAGGGGTTTATTTTCTGATCCTGTCGACGTGGAATGCAGTGTCCCACAGGGATCCGTGTTAGGACCCCGCTTATTCCTGGTCTTTAGCAACAACCTCTCGCATGTCATCGAGTCGAAGTGGCAGATTTTACTGATGACATCAAGAACCGTCGGGCTATTGGTTGTAAGGACGATCACAATGTGTTGCAGAGAGACTTAGACCGTGCCTTTAAATAGTCAAAAGGTAGAGGAGTGTTTCGCATGCCACACCATCAGCGACTAAAACTTTAGGATTGTACAGCCGAATTTATCTTCCTCAACGAAACGACCTCAGTCTGGCGCTCCAGATCTTAAGATGCCCTGATCACTTTTGCCCACATCTCACGAAGTTAAACCGCAACACAAACTTGGGGGGTCACCAGCTGAAAGTAGCTACGCGGTACAGTCGACTGGAATGCTGACGGAACTATCTTTCTCTTCGAATTTGTCATCCCTGGAAGGCTCTTTCGACTTTTGGTATTTCTGCGCTCAAGCTACCGACAATGCATCACAGCTCCTGCATAATCTGCTCAGTTTTCTGTTCACCTATTGACAACAGTGTTAACTTAAATTTGCTGACAATTTTTTTTACTTTGAGTTTTTACTATTGGCTTCCTGCGTGACCTTTAAAGCTAAGCATATTTTTACCCATATAAAACCGTTGTTCCGTTGTTCCAAACGAGGCGTAGCTGACATAAATGAGAGCAGCGTGGGAGGCCTGCCATTTTATCACCAGTTCCAAACTTTCAAAATGGAGTGTTTAAATTCAGAGCTATTTAGATGTGATAGTGATGGAACAGCCGTTTAGGGTTCGGATCTTTTACGCGATCGCCGAAGACAATGTAGTGGCACAGTTAAGTTGCTTTCGCGTGATAGATCTCCATTCGCATGACAGCATAAATGCGAATAAGGAAGCGTTCAGAAAGGTGAAAACTTATGTTAATGCATTAGATTGAAAACGTGAACAGCTTACCAAATCCACAGTAGAAAGCTGAAATTTGTCCAAATGTTGGTCGGCTTAGTATTCGCTTTAAAACAACCTAAAACAGAAATACGGACAGCAATACACGAGCACATTTTCCATGATCGCAAACCAACTGCATTCAGAATATAAGATAAAGAAACGCGCATGAAAATTATATGCCTTTATGGCTTGTTTAGTTACTACGACTATATAATGTCTGTGTTCCTAAAACCGTAAGAGTATAGAAAAGCAAGAAAGCAGAAATAACCTCTTAAGCTACACCCAGCTGCTGCAGTAAATTCGTTAAAACTGTCAATATAAACTCACTGTAAACAGCGAAAAAGCCACGATTGACATGCCGGCCAAACATTTGTGCCACATAATACGTTGATCGTAGTAAATATTGAGAATTAATCCACTAGACGACAATATAAATGCGATGACCTGTGTGACGAAAAAGGCGCGTAAATTATAGCAATGTGTATCTAATTCACATATTCTATTATGACATTAATTTCCTTCAGTGCAAATTACAATCCACTTTTGACTCAAATCCATACCGTATCAGTGGTGGTTATCACCCGTCCTTCTCGTATTACACTTTAAATTGGCCTAGTCAGTTGTGTTGCACGGAGCGTATCAATTAAGCGAGGACACGCCACCGAATGCTATTGGATTCCTATTGTCTACTAGCTCTCTGCTACCGTAATCAGACAAGAAAGTTAAGAAAACAAGCAGGCAGTGTTTGTTTTCTACTAATATGCTTCTTATGCTAATCCAGCTATTTAAAGCAGTGACTGCTTATTAAAAACGATTTTGTCCTTAGTTCAAAATAATTTCGCGGTAAGGGTTTAAAAAATAATTAAATGCGTAGTACGAAGATGGACAACTACTCGCACTTCGTATTGTTTTATCAGTTTCTTCAACAATAACTGGCAATACTAATTATTCGGGGCAGAGTGACACCAGACACGTATGCGGAATCGAACCGGTGACCTTAAGTCGGGCGTGCAGACTACTACGCGATCGGCCGACTTCTTACACCTCACATTCAAAGAAAATGCTATCGAGTGAACAAGGTACGGTACGGCATCCTACGTGGAATGTCGGGATCTGTAAGGAAGCTGAGGAACGTCTACGGCTTGACTGCTTGTTGAGATCTAAGGCATAATAAATGCCCAAAAAGTTTCAACATGACATATGTACGGGCGATCGAAGGGAATTTCACGGAAACCTTTATAACATAGGCGTTCTCATGACAGGCCTCCATAGGTCGGGAATAAATCCACCGTGTAGACTCCAATTTAATGTCCGTCGAGGACAGGGTGAGGGTATGGCACATTTCTTCAAGACAACTGGTAATAGCGTAACGAGTTCACTAGCCTTCCTTGGGTTCCGATTCCTGAATTCACGGTGGAATTCAACGTATTCAAATGTAATTTTTGGACTATAGTTAGAGAGAAAAGGTATAGAGAATTAAGGGGTGGAGGATGCTCCCCGTGAAGAAAAACAGAACTCAGAATTGGGTTACCTAACTTCCACAGATCCAAGTTGCTTACTGTAACTTTTACCGCACGGCTACTTTAAAAGTCTCCACAGATCTCGGCAGTTGCAGTTGAATTAAGGCTTCAATGTATACATTATTGAGTCGTGTCACTCAGTTTTTATCATAAAATGGGTCATTTGATACGAGCAGTGAATAAGGTTTTTAGACGGGTACTTTTTGCCTTGTAACTTGTTTGAGTGATGATGAGGCGAAACTATCTAATCGTAAGTAGGCGGTTTCGACCGGGTAGCAAAGATTGTGACAACAGTTGACAATCAGCAAAATGGTCACAATGAATAGACAGATCTTCATTGTTGAAGAGTGTAAAATCAGTAGAAGTCAGCGTTACTTGGAGTCGCACAATATTGGATGTTGAACAACCTCGTCGCTTCACAGTATTGAAGGGCTTATTAGCCAATGAACTGGAGTGCGTCATACTATAACCGTTAGGGCAAACTTTATGATACAACGAACGGTTACGAAGTGGGACACGTTTTGTGCAGAAAACAGCCAAGCATGAGTTATGAAGACGAAATCTAGTTACTCTCCAAGTCTGATCGGAAAGACCACTATGTTAGTCCAGTCGTTATCCTGGATGAATGAGGTATCACTTTATTGAAGTCCTATGTGATAACACAGACACAGAGGTCAAATTTAAGCAGTAACACCAAGGATGAGTAACCCGCAAAAATTTACAACTGATGTTTGTGTGTCGCCGGATAGGGTTACGTTCCCAATAACAACAGAAACAAAACCAGTCAAGTACTTTGCTTAAATGCAAGAAAATAAAAACCGATTGCGACAGTACAGTAGAAAAAAGTATGGATGAGGTTGTGGATGACACCACCTCTACGATTTCGGGCATCCCGGGACCACCGGATCTGATAGAAAGACAACCAAATGGTTGAATAACCTCATTTTCTGCATCAACATGTAACCAGCTTTCTTGTAGCATCAGCATGGCTGCATTCGCATATTTAGTGTGCGGTGTAGAAGCAATATGATCGACTAATTTCCTGACCAGTGATCGGAGGTTGCTATATATTTCAGTGGAATTTGTCTCTTGTCAACTGAGTGATGTCTAAAGCACAGCACATGCTATATTTACCAGAATGTTTTCGCAGGGCTCGTTTGAAAGTATTTCGGCCTTTGTTAGTATAGCGAATAATACGCGGATGTAGAGCAGTGTCATGGGGATATGAGAACATATTAACGGAATAGGATACTATCGAGATCAAGATATAGTACAGATAAACAAGTGGAAAAAGCGTTTTGTTAATTGTATAAATCCGCAGTAGTTAAATTAAAAAGGGCTTTCTCACTAATAAAGGCAACAGCTCCGCCGGGTATGTTAAAGGCACGGGCGAAGCAATGGGAAATGAACGCATTTGTCATTCTTCGTCTTCTTAATGCTCTTTTCAAATTACTAAAGAAAACTACCCAATTAAAATAAATAGGAGTTTTTTCTAGACGGTGCGAAGCACGTATTTGTCAACATGGTCGGGGAAGAATAGACTTGCATAGAGCGTTGGTCACAAGTGGATTGGGAAATTTGAACTTCAAATCAGACAATGACGTTCGGAAGGACAGCAATATTGTAAATAATTATCTGATGCGAAATGATGTTGGCTGGCTTATAACCACTATTACATGCCAAAGTATAAAGCAGCAGTAGATAATATGGTATCGAAAGACGTCATGGGTCAGATGAAATCTGTACTTTTCTGGTAGGCTCAATTTAGTTTTATGGAACAAGCAAACAGTTTGATCCCGTTCTATACAGTTAAGGATTTGTCGAAGCTTTTGCAAAATTTGTGTTCAAATGTGCACGCACGTATTCCAGGTAGTATCTTGTTACGGAATCTGGCGTATCAGTTAAAGAAAAGTTTTGCCGACCTGCTGATCTTAAACTTGCGTTTCACTATTTAGTTCTGGTTATGTCACGTGTATTAGCCGCATATCTAAATCAATGGCAAGTTGAGGTTATAAACGTGTATCTTTTGTGGGTCAAATGTTGGTAAAACGGCACTATACTATCGGCTTCCTAATTATTTGCAGTCATCGAGCAGGGTTTGCAGGACTACGATGCGAACTTAGGAAATTCACTGCCAACGAAATCCTCATGTCCTAGGCTTTCAAGTCATGGTGAGCCACGCATTTTACAAGACTTAGTGTTCTACTGGAAGGATCATATTCGGAAAATATAATATGTAAAGTGCTTGCGACAAAAAATCTCAGTGTCATAAATAGCAACTTTTCTTTTTAATTTTAATATCCTCATTTGAATTTAATCTTACTTTAGGTGTGGGATTGAAAATAGCTTCGCGTACAGATGGTAAAGCGAACATTGTCCGGCTTGAACTTACCCGGAGGGCACAAAATCGCCGATGTACAATAATCCAAGATAAGAGATAGTTGAAACATGGAAAGGCAGCTCCAATGATTAAACAATCAACAGGTGTGACAAGTTCCAAACTCCGTAGGAGACAACCGAGGAATAACTGCCACAGTACGGAGAGTAGAGCGCATCGTGTGAGAAATTTGACCATTGTTGGCTGCTCACTTGCCAGAATCATGATGTGGTCTCTGTATAGATAAACAATCCACAAATTCTATTTATTCTTACAATAAATGAAAAGAGTCATTCATAAGATTGCCTAAACCTGTTATCTTACTTTCTCAAAGGAGATAGCCAGATTCTAAAGAAGAGCATAGCATTTGGCTCAAACGTTACTTATATTTAATTCGCATGCACTTACTCTAACTTCCACCTGAGTCCACTTCTCTTTTCCTCAGCTATATAGGTAATTTTACTTGTTAATACCTACTGATGCGCTTTATGCTTATCCCTTAAATTCTTCCTATTTTTGATGCGTATTGGCTTCGCCTACTCATTAATTTCTAACCACCGCATCCAAGTCTAGCTACAATCGGCGAGGGTTTTTGTTTTATACAAACTTGGTGAGAGCGTACGGTTTCATTTATTAGTATACAAACAATAAAGACGTTGATACCTACCATCAGAACCCACTGGCTCTGAGTAAAATAACCGTGCTTTAGACATTTGTTAGCTTACATATTATCATTTTATAATCTACGATTGTTGTTTACTATTAGAGGGGATGGTTTTTTGATCCACTTTAAGAGATAGAACAGCACAACTTAACTAATTAACCAACAATTAGAATTGGAATAATGTCCATCTAAGTTCCACTTGCAGTCCGCCAACCGTTCAACTTCTCTACCAAATTGTCTAAATACAGTTTTAAGTGGGTCAAATAACTTGAATTTTTCTGTACTTCCTTTGCCTTATGCTCCTCTACACTTACGGAATAATTCAGTCAAAGGTACCAAATCACCTAATTAAAAATGTACGCATTAATACGCACCAAAACATGAGTAAACAATACATGTAATACGTTGCAAAATTATTGACGACCAAGCAGATTTATACGGTTAGTATATATAACAGAATAACAGCGGGCTTTAGTCATATGCATGTTAACTTTTCCGCCCTAATATGTCGAATGATCGGTTAATAGAACGCATCCCTTATCATCTTTCCGGCATTCTGAAGCACGTCAGAAGGCAATCAAAAACGTATACCTAATTTGCTGATGTGATATTGCTGGATCATTATTGTTAGAAGTAAATTTCCCTTTATCAAAAGTTTACTAAAGGCAAGTCTGAAATAAATGTATATTCAGAAGAAGGTAAGTTATATCAGTTATAGTATGAGATGCAGAATGACAAATGAATTATTGTCTTTAGGTTTGAGTTGCCGGATAAGTTCCAAAGGTATGTGCAAAGTTAACCCAAAAGTTTGACTTCGTGAAATGATATCTTTTCTATGTTAAACATAATTTGCAAGACAATGACAAATTTACTGGCTGGTGGGTTACAGCTTAAACCAGTATCAATGGGTTGTAATGAAATAGCGCGGCCAACTCTCAGTGGGTTTAACTAATATCAACAAATAATAGCTTCTCAAAGTTAGATTGCCAACGTACTGCGACATATGATTCATGTGACTATGGATTATAATAGGGTATTGGCTGGGTTAGTGCGCAACCGTCAAACACCACACAGTGGTATGTCCATTGCTGACATATTCGGAAAGCCTAAAACCACTGTCCATTCTTTTCTTGACGTGTGGTGGTCATCTAACTGAAATTAATTTCTATGAATTCAAGTTAAATCAAGGTAAACCACTTCGCCTTCGTGGTTGGAATATTACGGTGTGAGTGATGTAGAGATTACTTGGAAAATAAGTCACGCTGACATTTCTCTATCACAAAGATTTCCTGCAGGACCAAATACAAGTTGTAGTTAAATTTGTTCGACAAATACAGGTTGAGATATCTTTGCTGCCTTAATACTTGGCCTGATACAATCTTTAAATAATAAACATAATGCTTCTCAAAATGTTTGTTATCACAGCTGTGTTTATAGGTACGCATTTCCCTTTCCTTGTGTTCCCATTTTGTTTCAAGTGCTTACATATTTCCTATAATCTCGTTCTACTTGTTCTTTAACATCTTTATATTTGCATGCACATTTAGTTAATACACTGCATTTTCTTCAGTAAATATACCGTGTAAAAGTAGGGTAATGTACCTCAAATAACCGAATTTTTACTGCTTTATCTGATTTCTTGGTTAGATTAAAAGAGATTTGTTTTATTCTATAGGGCAGCTTGTCTCGCAAAACAAGTCGACATTGTCCATAGCGAAATCCTTACTACCATAGTACTATGGCACTGAATAACGTTATGTATCTCCATACTAAAAGTGACGTAGTTTGCTAATCGTTCCCGGACAACACACTGCATTTTTCGTAAATTTGCTTGCGTTGACAAGACATGCGGTGACATCCTTTTTCTGCAATTCACATTGAGGACAACAAAACCATTCTAACCTTAAACACCGTAGCTAATTACATTGTAATCATAATAGATGCTGTTGCATCAGATAATTTACAGCGTTTGGTTGGTGGCACCTTATGATAGTTTCGCAATTTCATACCGGATTTGAAACGGGTCACTTACCAAAGCTGTTTGGAAAGCAGAGCAGTGAGTATATGGAATAACTTGCCGCCGCACTTACTCGAAGCAGAGTCAGCATCCGAATTCAAGCAGTTTTCTGGCCAAGCACTTTGCCGACATGAAATAACCAGTAATTAACTTTAAGTCAAATTTCCAGCTTTTGGCCGATGACATCAAGGTATGGCGGGCAATCGCCTGTCAAGCAGATCCCGATATGACGCAACGAGACTTAGGTTGCGCTTTTGAATGATCTAAGGTTAATCTAGTTTATCGCAGACAAGCGCGAAACCATGCATGTCGTACACAAGCCCGCGTTCGCATATAAGCCTGGAGACGACATTCTGAAAACCACCTCACAAGAGCGATACCTTTGGATGGTGATGCAAGACGAGAGCAGCTGTTTGATGCAGTTCTTTAAAGCGTCCAAAACCGCGAAGCAACACGTTGGTCCATTACGGAGGGCCTTTGGGAGGTTTGATCCCTTCAGCTTCCCCGAAATTCTCAATGCGTATGGGAGGCCCCATGTAGCGTACGCGATCCAGCCTAGGCAACCCTGGTTAAAACGTGACCTGGTTGCACTGGGAACCGGAAAGCAACAGGCAAGGAAAAATTTGAAGGGGTTGTCCCACCTGCAATACAATAGGCGACTGAAAGCTTTGGGAGTGTACTACGGAATATATGGCCGTCTGTGCGTCTGCGTACCAGATTTTGTAAAACCGCGGTCACGCTTGCCGCCAACTCCCGAATCTTAGCTTCTACACAAAACTGAGGGGTCATAAAGTGAAACCTGCCGCCTAATGCAGTCTGTCTGAGCGCGGCCGGAATCACATTTTCTTCGAGTTTGTCAACTGTGAAAGGTTATTCCGACACCTGTCTTTTACCCGCCCAAGCTACCGATTTTAAAAAAAGTTACCCGGCAATGTTTTACACCATTTACATTACTTGCTCTCATTTCATTTCATTGGGGGATGACAAAATGCAGACAAAATTGTGCTCACCAACCACAGGAAATCTGGGTAGACGGATGTATCTGTGTGTCAACGTGGATAACTTTGTAAGTCCAAAGGTGCTTGTTTCACTTTTGCGTAACTTCATTGAGATAACGCGATTCCCACTAACTATCCCACGGGACTTGTCAAGCATTGGCTTTTTATCCGCATAATACCAATGTTCCATTGTTCCATTGAATGGTCTCTCAAGCTTGCCGTGACTGGTCGCACGGTAAACGTACTGTCCACTGTCACAGAGTTTCACGTCTTTATCTTCCCTTAGCGCAGTCATCATACACTCATTCAAATAGAATTAACTCCCAGTGCTCAGTGTACATATTTTTATGGAAATATTTTCTATGGAAGTGCTTTGTGCTACCCAGGTTGTTTTAGTGCGCTTCGTGCTTATATCAAGACGCGCCACTTTTTTGGTTTGAACCGTTATCGCGGCTGCGACACCGTGATCGAGCAAATATTATCCGCGATATCCCGTGGTCCTAGAACTACCACACACACACACACACGCACACACATAATACACGTTAGCTAGAGGTGGTAAACACCTCAGCTACTGTACCGCAATACATAGAAGAAGAATGGAGAAAAAATGCAACGAGTGCAAGCCGGCTGAGCTACCAGTGATGGATGAGCATCGCTCCGGTAAGCTACCGGCCGGCTACAATGCAGCAGAAACAAATAATTTATTGTGCAAAATTATAAATGCTAAATAATGAGATCATGATTGGAGGGGAAGGCTAAGGGGGATGAGGTGGGACAAAGAAACTCACAGCACGAACGCTACTGAGGTAGGCTCCTAGTCATAACAACATGTATATCCAGCCACACGTGTTCATGGTCTTTCGGACCCCAACCAGGGAGCCGAGACGATCCAACCGTGTCCATCTTCGAAGTGAGGGCCTTTATGCCTCTGGACCAAGTCAGCGCTTGGCCACCTCTCCTCTTCCTCCATCCACACTCACAGCGCGCAAACAACGCACATCGCGGGAGTCGGTGGACTGGCACGCGCAACACTTGGCCGAGCCGTCGGAGCCTGGTGCGTGAAAAAGCAGTGCTGAGCGGGTCACTTCGTTTTCCTGTGCCGTAAACAAGGCGTCGAACACGCTCGTTGCTTACTCGATGTTCCCATCAGATGTGAGCTAAATTGCGAAAGCACCGGTGGTCGAATGTAACTAGTCTCTTTATGTCCGCTGATCTAAGGGGCCAGGTTTCCCAACCGTACAGTAAGGTAGAACGTATAGCTGCATTAGACACTCTAACCTTCAGGGCGACAGTGACGTCGTGCCGGCGCCGTAAGTAACGAAGGTTAGCAAAACCGACTCGAGTTTTAGTTATACGGTACGTGATCTCATCTTCAATCCCACGGGCGCTGATACAACTTCTCAGGTAGTTAATTTTTGAACGACTTCTAGATGCTCCCCATCATCGGTCAGCGAACGAGGGGTTCCGTGCCAATTTTGAAGGAACGCTTTGCATTTTGATGGTGCAAAGCAAAGCCCGAGGCGACTGACAGCCAGTGCTAATCTGTCCAGTGC